AACGTGTCTTTAGTAATACTAGAATTTCACCCGTGCTTTGCACGTAATGTATTTTTCTTATTATTGATTTTTGAAAATTGATATACATACAAACATGACTAAAATAATGAACTTTTAACAATATAGTTTTGATACATATTCATATTGAGAAATATTTCAAATTTTTGGATAACAATAAAAGCAATCCTTTTTTTAGCGCATGAAAAATCTCCATAAGGAGATGTAAACATCGGGTAACATTTACCACATATCCTTTTGAAAGGTGTTCGTACTCCTCCCTGGTATGATCATCTCATAGCAAGCACTCAATGAGGCTAATTGAGAACTTTATATCATTCATTTGTTCATGACATCACATGAATATGAAAACCATACACACAATATATGTTAATCTCAATATTTGAATTTTAAGTAGAAAAATGGACATACTTAATCCATTACATTGCACGTTTTTTAACATGACAAAAACAGGCAAACTATACTTCAATTTGAACACTTTCGACATTGTATTCAATATTTTACTATTAAACAGAGTCACACTCAAAGATTACATTAAGTTTACCAAACTGGATGGTAGACTGAAACTATTCTTGCTGAAAAGATATTGTCTTGCTCAAGAAATCACACAAAGGTATGAAAAATCCATAATTTAATGCCAAAGTCAAAAGACGACGACCAAATAAGACTAAAATATAGTTTTCATTCATATACATGATTATATGTCCCTGTTTTCACCTAGAAACTGGACACATTCATTAGGCCGTAAGGAAGATTACAATTAGTTAGGATTCGTTGTTAAGTTTGCACGAGTACACATGATCACTTGAACATCGCCAAAATCAGGCTGACACAAAAGGAACGTCTCACACTGTAGCTGACAAATGTTCAGTTCGTGTGTTACAGGCCCAAGTTCAAGATCGTGTCACACGGCGGTTTGAGGGAGGCCGTTTACAACGTTGGTAGGTCCTACCAAGGAAGAGAGCTGCTTGGGGTACCCCAATTTGTAGGGGTGGCCGCGGTCCGGAACGGTCCGGTAAATTAGTAAAACCCGTAATGTATCCGTGAGGTTTCTAACGGTCCGGTACAGTTCGGTTCTAAGGATGGAACCATTCGGTACCATGTTGTTTCGGAACGGTATAAAACGGTACGGTACAATGTCAAACACGTGCTAAAAAATTGGAAACATTTTGCAATTAGTAGATATCATCACACCAACCAATTCACATAAAATGTTACAAGAAATTGCTTACGTAGTACTACAATTCTAAAATTCACAAATAATGCAACACAACTAAAAAAAGTATAGCAAAATGACGATAAACGAGATACATATCATCTTTAATTTACAAAGTTCACTTGAAAATATAAAAATAAAATCATCAAATTAATGAATATAACAGAAAAAATCAATGTTCTTCATTGTTCTAGGTTAAGTATTAGTTCTAATTAAATTACTAGTTGAACCGCGGGGGCTAAAATTTAAACCATATTAATTAAGTTGTTAAATTGCACAAACGTGATACAACAAAAAGTTGTATACACTACATTACTAGAAATGAATAGTTATTAATGATTTCTAAAACTTTAACATTCTTTTAATACATACCAAAATATAATATAAATTATCTAATACATTTTTAATTAGAGTATCTACTGACGTAATATTCATTATTATTATATCATAGATGAATGAATAAGTGATTACACACACACACATATATATATATATATATATATATATATATATATATATATAAACACATTTAGCTATTTTAGGGACGCATGAATACATACTTGAGCTATAAAATTGTTGGTCTATAAAAATAGATTTATTGGTATGGAAAAAATATAAAAAAATTCAATGCATTATTTTTGAACGGTCCGGTTCGGTATTTTTCGGTACTCAAATTCTAGGACCAGTCCCGTACCCGTTTCAAACGGTACGGTTTCAGTTCGGGGAAAAAAATTTATAGAACCGTTTGAATACCCGGTATTTGGTTCGGTACCATTACGGGCCGGTTCGGTATCGGTTCGGTTCGGGTTTTATGCCCACCCCTACCAATTTGTATCCCAAAGTGTACACCGTCTGTGTACACAGACATTTGGACAGAAAGTTCTGCCCTCTTTCAAACGAACGGCCTGTGTACACGGGCAATTCAGGAGTGGGTACAAATTGAGGTACAATTTGAGGTACCTATAGAATTTTTGACCAATGAATGTATCAGAGTGGATAGATAGGACATAAACACGAAATGTCTGATCATGAGTCTGCAATCGGTTTACATCATATACGTATAAAAGTACATTAAATAGTAAAACCTTATCACTTGGAAAATTTGTTCTTAAATTCAATAATTATTACCTGACAATTTAGTTGAAGGATAAAAAGTGAAATAACAACTAAGTATATATACTTGAACTATTGAATTTAATTTGCATTTAAGCATATTTATTACTACGTAATACATAGACAAACATTCTCACTTGGACTGGTTTGACTTGGACTGGTTTTCATCTGAACAGACCACACCATCCTTTTTGTAATATCTTGCATATTTAGGAACACTTTTTTCTAATAAATGGCTTTAGTGGTAATTTTTAATTAGTATATGATCTGTAATAATTAAGAGACAATTTAACAAAGACATGGTGGATGATAGGGTTTTCCTGTGATGGTATGACCAGGATTACCACGTGCGAAATGTAACTATGTATGAATGGGATGAAAACTTTAGTTTTAGTTGCATAGTAGGAAAATCTTATTGCATAGTGGTAATACTTATACGTAGTATTTAACAAGGAAAATTCCTAAATTAATGTGATTAATAAAAAATTGATTTAAATTAGATCAATATACTATAATAGCTTCATAAATACATTTTTAATTAAAGTATCTACTGACGTAATATTCATTATTATTATATCATATAGATGAATGAATAAGTGATTATACACACATATTTAAAGACTCCGAAATTTTTATAAACAATATCTAGTATGTTATACTTTAATTGAAAACTTGAACAATATTAATTCGTATAAGGAATATGTATGTAAGGATGTTTTTAATTGGACTCTTTTTAGTCCCACACCAGATCAGACTAGACAAGACTTGGACAATTATAAAATACACAGAGACTAGACGTTTACCAGACCAAACCACTTTATACCAGACTAGATCAGACCAGAAAATTTCAGTTCAAATAAAAACATCTAATAGATCAGACTATATTATGATTTGATAATGATTTTCATTCTAATTTATTTAGATATTAAATCAGGAAATTTATAAATTATATTTTGGCTAATAAGTATGTTGATTTACATATACATGCACTAACTTAGCAGATTCCGTTTGTCTAACGTCAAAATATTAACAGAAGGACCAAATTAATATAGATTAAATAGATTAGGGACTAAAATGGTAGAATTATTAGTTCAAGGACCAAAACGATATGATGCTGATAGTTTAAGGACTATTTATGCATTTTACTCTGGATGTAATAACGTAGTGCTAGCAAGATAAGTTTCAGCCATTCAATTGAAATTCAAAATTCACCCAAAAAAGTTTTAGCGTTAGCAAAAAATGTTCAATGTTGTCCTGAGCATCAAGACCATGAACGTTTGAGCTTAACCATTTAGCCATCGTCTTCTGCCCACAAGCTAAATTTGTAAAACCTCTAAGTGGAACCATTTCACCATAACTTAATAAATCAATATTATCAAATCAACTTTTCAAATCTGAACTGGAAAACAAAAATAATGGAAGTATATAGATTTATCTCTTTCAAGAACATTAGTTGAACATATATCCAAAAGACACAAAATTAATCAAGATGTATGAAATAAGAACTTCGAGCGAAACAATATCTGAGACCTTCAATCATGTTTAGACCTTTTAAATGAAGAACAATTTTAAAATTCGATGATTTAGAACTTTAACTAAAAGTCAGAAATTGAGAATTTTAATTGAAACAAAAAAGCAGACTTGACCTAAAATCTAATCATTTGAGTAAGACATTGATGTTACCTGATCAAGATTATAAACATCTTTTTGACCAATTCAGAACAATAAACCTTTTGAGTATCCATTTCTGCTCTTCTCCCCTTGGCTTCCTGAAATATCATAACAAACGGTGTCACATTGAAAACTAAACCATGAACAAACACCCAAAACCATCTAGTTTCAGAACAATAAACCTTCTAAAGCAGTTGCAAAACTATTATTTGTTCTCAAATCTGTTTCACTCTTTCCTGTACACAAACAACAAATCACACTTAACACATCTTAACTTTAGTATAAGAGTATCATAACTATGATCAATTGGTTTAAATTTACTATGAAAAAATGCCCCTAATCAATTCCAAAATCAATCTATGAGATAAAACCATAGAGTAAACAATCTAAAGTGTGGCCAATGGGTATAAAGTCTGGGATAAACATCCTTGGAAGCTTTTGAGTCTTTTGATGCACTATTAACATGAGCTCTAAGTGGATGTCCATGTTCATCTGCAATTATACGCTGAATTAGACTTCATGTCCTTAATTGGTTTAGCTAAACTGATTTACCTTGGTAATTATTTTGCAGTGCATTCCAAGATTATTTAAACCTTTTTGGACAGCTTCTCAGTGTGAAACAATCAAACATTTTTCAAAAACCTTACTCATTTAGATTTAAAAAAATACAATTTTTTCAACTCCTCAGACAACTAAAAAAACAGTGATTGCAAAGCTAAATCGCTTAAGCTACCATAATTTTTAGACCCCAAAATGAGATCCAATGCAATAATCAAATAGTCACCCTTTAAATAAAGAAAACCTGTTAGAAGATCATCATGTATATCTGAGGGTGTGGAAATGAATAAAACGCAATCAGTCACACCAAATTTCAACAATGTAACAAAGTTATGAGTATTGAGTTGATAGTAATATTGGACACAATGTAACAATGTAACAAAGTTATGAATAAAACTCAATACATACTTGAGTTGATAGTAATATTGGAAACAATGTCCTTAAAAAGAGAATCCATTTTTTGTGGTGTCAAGTTTCTTTTATTACATTCCATATGTTCTAAAGTAAAAATTAAAACTCACCATGCATATTTTCATTCAATTTGATAGAGCTAGTGAAAAAGCTGTACAACGAAGGCCACCCCTCTATTTCAAGTAGCTTTACGAGTATATAATGATCTGTCATGCATCATATAATCCCATACTTAAGCTCCACCCTACGCTTCACTTCAGTATAATTACACTATTGCCAGTACGTAGCATTTAGCTTTCATTGCAGTACATAAAATGGCTATATTCATCTTCCTTCTTGCTGCTGCAGCTATTTACACCAGTGCTTTATCATCATCATCATCATCATCATCAAGTGGTGTTTTTGAAATCCACGACCGCTTCTCAAGCGACATTGTTGATGCCTTGGGAAACCATGGCTTGCCTAAGAAAGGAGGCTTGGACTACTTTTCCTACATGGCAGCCCTTGATTCCAAGAGACTGCAATCTTCTCCGGCATTGACTCTCTCATCTGGAGATGCCAGTTTTCAGATATCAAGGTAAGGTTGTTAATACTACATCTTGAAACTGTGTTATCTTGAATATTTTGGTGAATTGTGTTCAGTAATTTTCTATATATTTTATACGTAGTAGTAAATTATTATTAAATTATTATTGATCGTATAAAAATGATATGAAAATGTTACTTATTAAAAATACTTTCTTAAAATCACAAAATTTATATTTATTATAATACGGAGTAATACTATATACTAATCAAGATCACAGTCTAAACTTTACTCTATTAACTTCAAAAGTCAAAGATGACAAAATTTTAAGCTACGGAGATAACATTATAGATGTACTGATGTGTGTGTATTCAGGGGGAATCTGAATCTCGGATGCTCCGAGATGAATAATAATTATACATATACTAGCCTTAAACATTAGTACTGATGTTGGCTAAATGTGAACAATGAAAAAAAAATCACCAAGAAATTGGAAAAGTGCAAGTTACTCTGGGCTATTTTTTTATATCATAGTTACCCTGAGCTTAAATCCTCCATGTTTTTTTTTTAAATTTATGTTTCTATGTAATACATTATTATTTTCCAGGGAATGGGTCCAGGGGTGAATGAGTCAAAACTCAAGAGGACTAAACCAAACGTCCAAAAGCATATCCAAATAGGCAAACATAATTTGTTTTTACCATGCAATGGACGATAATAAATTACTCCTTATGTCTGAGGAAGCGGTCCAGCTCAGCTGGTCGCCGACTCACTCTCCCTTATGGGAGGCCCCAGGTTCGAAACTCAATGGAGTGAGTTTCAGTCCAATTTACTCCAGGCTCCGCTCAGACTCCCCAGAAGCCCCCTGGACTAAAAGAAAAAATTTACTCCTTAAGTCTTATTATCTTTTTCTTATCTTTTCATTTGTCATGTATGCTTACCTCGCTGGCTCGCTATATTTTTCTCATAGCATATTTAGTACTCCATTTGTCCTAGTTTCCCACTAACTGTGGGACAAGGAGTGAGATAGAAACCAATAAGAAATGATTTATGTGGTTAATATTGAATTGATAAAGTAAAAATAAAGTAATTAAAAATAATTTAGAGTTTCACAAATTTTACCAAATTATCATATTTGAAATGGGATAATTTTAGTTGGACGGACTGAAAAGGTAAAATGAGACAACTTAAGCGGGACGGAAAGGAGGAAATTAATAATATAATATTCGTGTACAAGGTCTAATTCACTCCCATTCTTTTGATACTTTATTCATTTACATTCGTCCCTCATGTCTAAACCTGCTGGACCATATATAAGTGGATGCAGGGGTGAACTTTCCTCTAACGGAATTAATCCCAAATTTTTGTAAATTCATTAGTTAATTTATTATTTTTTTTTTATATAATTATTAATAAGCTAAGTCCATGTTAAGTTTTAACATAAGCTCAGTAGTCTCAATGACTCAATGTGCGCTCCCTCTTGTTCTTAAAAACTTTTTAAGCGCCCATGATCTGAGTAACAAGTATTGCAGTTTGTAGAAATTACGGAGTAGTTTTTATTGATCGACTATGTGTGTATGTTACGTGAAAGTTCCTGAAACAGGACTAAAACAGTTTGAAAATTTCAAATAAGACTGACATGTTTTTATTTCCAAAATAGGAATAATTACTGTCAAGTTTGGAAAATATTGCTATGTTTGAAGTTTGGTACTGCCAAAACATGTCAGTCCTATTTTAGAATTTTCAAAACTTTTTAGCCATATTTCGGATAATATTCTCATATATTACTGAGCACGTATTAAATTAGTTGCATTTACATTTGACCTTTACATTTTACTGTGTATATCATAGTATGTAGCATTTATTTTAGGGAAAATTCCAGAAATAGTAGTAAATAGGTTTGAAAATTCCGAAATAGGGCTGTCATGTTTTTATTCCCAAAATAAGAGTAATTACTGTCATGTTTGGAAAATATGGTCATGTTTAAAATCTGGTACTGCCAATAAATATGACAATAATTAGTCATATTTTTAAAATAAAAACATGGCAGCCATATTTTGGAGTATACAAACGTTTTTAATCCTATTTAGGATAATTTCCCTTTATTTTATAGGATGAATGAGTCCTGATTTAATAGATTGCTTATGATTGAATATTACTCTTGTCATTTCTTTAGACCTAAACACATAACCAACCTTATGCAAATAAAGATAAAATATTTATTAATATTAAAATAATCTTATATTGTATAATATTCATGTATAATATTGCAAATAGTTATACATGTATAATATTCATATACTCCGTATATTGTGTGTCTTTACTTAATTTTTAGTGGTTAGCCCGCCCCACTGCACCTCTTATTCCTAGGCCCTAGCACCTAATTAACTGAGGTTATTTTTATCAAATTTAAATTACAGTATCCACTACGCAAGAGTTTATGTTGGAACGCCACCCTTGCCATTCATCGTTGCACTTGACACAGGGAGTTCCTTGTTTTGGCTCCCATGCAATTGCAGTGTCTGTTTACGCAACATCACTTTGGATTCTCCACAGGTATATATAAGTTTATGATTGTTCGATATCATTTTTTAATGTTATAAATTCTTGAACTTATTGTGGTTAGAAAGGGGCTCTATATTATTTACTAGTATGTTATATACTCAAAATATTAATACGTATACTACCCCTTTTTATTTAGCCATCTTTGACTTTTCCAGTCAAAGGTGATAAACTTTGATCCATTATTTTAATTAATATATTTATATGAAGCTTACTAAATTTATACTTTTATGATAGCATTTTTAACAAAGATCATTTTCATATAATTTTCATATTATCAATATTATCGTGTATAAATATAGAATCGGTCAAAGTTGAACAACTTTGACTTGAAAAAAGGTGTTTGACTAAATAAAAAGGGACGGAGGGAGTATTATAATAATTGTATTATTGATATATCACTATCAGTGATATATACGTAGTAGTTGATCGATATGATGAGTGTTAATTATTGAAGATTGTTTTCCCTATAATTAATACGGAGTAATCTTTTCTTAATAAAATTGTTGTTTGGAATTGACTGCATGTTGTTTTCACCTTTCACGATCTTTCAGCCCGACCTACCACAGATAACGAATCTCAATATTTACCATTCGGATAAATCGTCCACGTATAAAATTATTGGTTGCCCAACTTCAAATAATGGGTGCCCGTATGAGGTCCTATACTTGGATGGATCATCCGCTACAGGAGTACTCATATCAGACATATTACACCTAACCACTTATGACAAGCAACACCAACACATCCAGGCTGCTGTGACATTCGGGTACACACCTAACACAAATGTACATACATAATTTAAATTTATAAAAAATGCATGCATGCATGCCGATCAATGATCATGTAGGATGTTTTTTTTACTTGGAATGTTTTCAGTCTCAGACCAAATCAGACTTAGATAGACCAGACTAGACTAGACCAAACTTAAACAAACAAGTTCAGACCGGACTTTTGTAGTTAGGAAATACACAGATCATACATTCACCAGATCGAACCAGATTTAAAGAGATGAGAACAGACCAGACCATCACATTTTATTTAGTCCATGTAAAAACATATGTAGTCTTTTGTGTTATTATTACGTAATACGTAGTATTACCAGTGGCGGAACCAGAACTTTATTTGAGCCGGTGCCGAGAGAAAGATAAATAGTGTATGATATTTTTTTGTTGTGCACACTGGTTTACAAGTTTTTTGTACACGTCCCATAGTTTTACGTACGTGCCGTAAAAAAAATCAAATTTTTTGAAAAAAATCAATTTTTTGCTGGCCTGGTCTGGTCTGGTCTGATCTGGTCTGTTCTGGTCTGAACTGGTCTGGTCTGGTAAGGTCTGGTTTCTTTGTATTTTTATAACTATCCAAGTCTGGTCTGGTCTGGTATGGTCTGAACTGGTCTGGTCTGGTCTGAACTGGTCTGGTCTGATCTGGGGCAAATTACAGTCCAAGTAAAAACATCCTTAATTCGAAGTGTTAGAACATTTCCTTGTTGATGTATAAAAAATGTTGAAAATTTTAATGTCTACATTTAAATTGCAAACAAACTACTCTTGGAAATAAATTCAAACACGAGGTAGTTTTTCCTTTTTGTTCTCTTCATTAGAAGTGTTGGAAGACTGCCCAATCACTATTTAAGCTAACAAATTATACAACAATAGACACATAAAATAATTAATTACATAATCTGAATTTATATGTTGTAAGCACTAGTTATTAGTTAATAAATACATAGAGTATAAATAACATTAATTGCAGTATGTATATTACATATAAGAAAAATTCAAAAAATCACTATTACTTATAAACCTAATACACCACAATTATAAAATACGGAGTGTTGAATTACATCAACTAAAATCGTAAAAGAATAAAACCACAAAACCAATCAAAGGAAAATTACCTTCACCGCAGTCTCAAGAGATACAACAATTACATCAGTGAGTTACGGCTTCTGGCCTTCTGGCTTCTTCACGAAATGCGTAGGTAGATTAGGCGACACTACACCTCTTAAATCTTCGAAATTTCAGGCTTCAAGAGATAGAATCACAGCGACCAAAGTGGGCAGTCACCCGTGGTCAGCGGAATTTCACAAGATCGGGATTGAGTTCCGCCTCTTCAGTTTTTGGGCTGAGCAATGAAGGAGCAATGGATTGCGTCTCTTCAATTTCAGATGTTTTATTACTCCTTAGTTTATTCAAGGTTGAGTGTCGTTTTGTTTTACAGTGTTTTATCGTCTTGCAAACGGCACCGTTCTACTTAAACAAACGGCAACGTTTTATCAAATGAAAATTTTAGAACAGAGAACACGTTAACTCGTGAGTAACAGGCTGTAACCTACCGCCGAAAGAAGAAGAAAGCTTCAGCGTACAGGGGCGCCGACGGAAATGCCATATATATATATACCTTAACTCTTCCGGCGAAGGAGGAGCGCCGGCACCGGCTAGCACCCCCCTGGTTCCGCCGCTGAGTATTACCTTTTGTATACTTCCGACATAGATAGCTAGGAGATGAGAGTAATAATTAGCTAGGTTTTATACTAAGTATATGTTATTACTTATATATCCATTATACGAAGTCTATATGCTGGATTTAGCAATTAAAGATTACTCGTATTTAGAGAAGATTTTGCTTGGACGATTATTATTGGCTTTTTTACTACTCCGTATATGTTTGGTCTATATGTTAGGTGTGCATCCAACGTAACAGGCCTCTTTCTGGGAGTTTCAGCTTTTAATGGATTGTTAGGGCTTGGGCCGGGTACTGGGCCTGATGACATGGATGCCCTCAGCATTCTTGCTGCTCAAGGGATTGTTGGCAATTCCTTCTCCCTCTGTTTCCAACCCAGGGGAAAGGGGAGATTAATATTTGGAGACAAAGGCACTCCCAATCAGAGAGAAACACCATTTGATCTAAATACCCAAAAGTATGTCCTATACTTATCTTTTGGTCCAAATTTAATACGGAGTATATAGTAATCCTGAAATCAATTTCTTATAATTAATTAATGTTTGTGGACACTTATTGCTAATAATGATGTTTAATTAATCTTGTTATGTGCAGTGAAGGGTACAATATTATGATTGAGGAGATTGTTGTGAATAAAAATATCACAAAAACTGTTGATCTAACTGTGCTTTTTGATTCGGGTACATCATTCACAGTTTTAAGTGATCCCGCCTACACATTTATTACAGAAAATGTGAGTGTTTTTCTTTATTAGACGGTATCTATTTATATAGATACAAACGTACATACATACGATTTTATGAAGAGGGAATCGTGCAAGCTTGAATCAACAATAAACTGATTTTAAAGTATGAATCCGCACTAATTCAAATAGAAATACAAGCTTGAATCGAATAGCTTATAAGAACAAGAACTAAAAGAAATATTTTATTATTTATAGAATGAATTCAAATAGCTTGAATCAGATAGTTCGATGCTATGTAATCGCATATGATCGTGAAAGAAATTGAATGCCCTTTACATCATCTGTACCTCCTATATATTCTACAAGCTTCTACTTGGCAGTTAGAACTGCCCGGTGAATCCGGTGCCTCCTTCTGCGTAATAGGACTCCAGCACGTTGTTCTCTGCCTTTTGATCTTATCACTTCTTTAATTAATTGCTTGGACCTCTTCTAAAAGACCTTGGGCCGGTTTACACATTTGAACACATTGACTCGTTGGCCCATTTGTAAAATAAATCCTTAGGGCCCAACACATACATTTACACACTTAAATGTTTTTGTTGTTGTTACACACATACATGTTGAAATATTAAAATGTGTACTTCATACAATTACTAAGTTGTTTGTTCTAACTATACTTAATAAATGTTGCAGTTCAACTCCTTAATAAAGGAACCACGCAGCCAACAAACATTTCTGCGTTATTTTGAATACTGCTATGACTTGAGGTGGTTATATATATAGTATAAAAGCATATATATATATATATATATATATATATATATATATATATATATATATATATATATATATATGGAGCGGTTGCGGTAAGAACGAATCTTAGGAGAGAAATGAGAACGAATCTGGACCGTTGGATTGAATTATGTGGAACTGAATTGTGCATTTGGTGAAACCGAAATGTGCATTAGATGATACTGAAATGTGCAAAATAAAAATTTACACTCAAGTGTGCATTAGATGAAACTCAAATGTGCGAAATAAAAAGTACAAAAATAACATTACATCATACTTTTTATTCTACACATTTCAGTTTCACCTGTTGCACATTTCAATTTCACATAATGCACAATTCAACTTCACATAATGCCACCGTATCGTACCCTTTGTGCTGCACATTTTAATTTCAATTAATGCAAACTACAGTCTCATCTAATGCACACTGAATTTTACTTAAAGCAAATCTAACGGTCTAGATTCGTTCTCATTTCTCTCATAAGATCGTGTTCTTATTTGAACTTATATATATATAGTGCTCTTCCTGTCCGGAATTTCCGGACATGGGAGTGGTCCGGCCTGGCCGGACCTGAATACTCCTGTATGTATGTATGTATGTATGTATGTATGTATGTATGTATGTATGTATGTATGTATGTATGTATGTATGTATGTATGTATGTATGTATGTATGTATGTATGTATGTATGTATGTATGTATGTATGTATGTATGTATGTATGTATGTATGTATCTATGTATGTATGTATGTATGTATGTATGTATGTATGTATGTATGTATGTATGTATATATATATAGACAGAGAAAGAGAGAGCTGAGGAATGATCCTGTCCAGCCGGAGGGACAGGATCTTCCATCTGGCTGCCGCCGTTTGAGGTGGTTCCCGGTGGCATTTGTTGATGACATTTCCTGAGTTTATTCATTATTAAGTCTAGTTTATCCACAAAATATTTCAACTGAAAATTAGATTGGGAAGGAAGTCAAACAATTTCTTGAAGATAACTGCGCTAAATTATACATATAAAAGCAGTTATTTTCAAAAATTTATTTGACTGTCTTCCCGATCCAATTTTTAGCTGAAAGTGTTTACGGATAAACTAGACTTGATGAGGAACACAAATTTTTTTATTAAAAAACTCTATCAGGAACCGCCACAAACGCGGCAGCTGGACGGCACTCCTGTCCAAAATGGACAAGATCGTTTTCGTGTATATATATATATATATATATATATATATATATATATATATATATATATATATATATATATATATATATATATATAGAATAGAGATCAAATACAAAGTCTTCTTAATTTACAAAGTACAAACTCATCTTGACCGTCCGATGAGTTGATCCAAAGGACATAAAGGCAAGGTGGCATTTTTGTAATAAAACTCAACTTTTTAGGGTGCAACTCGTTGCACCTTAATGTGCAACTGCTATTTTTATGACTTTATAATGTGCAATACTTTGAACCTCAATATGCAATGCAAATAACGTCAAGGTGCATCGTACAAATATTTGCACAATAAGCACACTTTGTACTTGATCTTTCCCCTATATATATATATATATATATATATATATATATATAAATTCAAATCAGATTTCACCTTTCATAAGGGTTGATTTGCAACTGCTTTTAAAAAAGCACTTCTCAGCTTTTGGCTTTAAAAAAACACTTATTTTCTCAAACACTACAATTTTTATTTTTCTCGGCTTCCGCGTCAAAAGTGCTTTTACTTTTTCTATTACACAAAAAGCACTTATTTTACCAAACACTACCCACTTTTACTTTTCAAAATCACTTTTTTCTCAAACACTATCAACTTTTATTTAATCACTTTTCCTCATTTCATTAAAAAAAGCATTTTTTTAAAAGCAGAAGCTGTTGCAAACAGACCCTAAGTCATGAAAGCTTGTTTTTAATTAATTGTCAACTACTTTTTCAGTCCAAACAAAACTTCTCATTGGACTCCCCGGCTGAGCTTAATAATGAAAGGAGGACACAAATTTGATGTCCTTTTTCCAACATTTAAGTCATATCAGGTACTGAATTGCTTGCTTTATTGTTTGGAATTTCCTAAAAATGCTCTTTTGTTAGAAATAATATGTTGATCTCTCATTATATTCTCTTTACTAGATTCGCACCCGTGCGATGCACGGGACAAAATGTATTCAAATCACGTAAAGTACATCAACGGTCAAGAATAGTATCAACCATAGATAAAATTATAATCCTTAAAATAAAAGTACAATAGCAAAAATATAATAATAATGACAAAATAGTGATGATAAAGATAATAATTATCGGTCTCGGTTGCACACATTTTTATAAATATATGTGTAGACCATCATTCAATTTTATCTGATTCTTTTCTAATTTATGTAGACGTAAACTTCTTTTCCAACGTCGATAAGTTATCCATATTCCAAACGTATCAATGTTTAATTTGTCGAGTGAATGCTATATTATTGTGCTTAACATTTCTTAATTTCTTTACTGGCGATTGGAATAGTTACAATGATTGATGGATAATCAAAGAATCCCCGAACAATCTACTTTGTCTCTTGTTTTGGGAATTTACTTATTGTGTTTGCTTTACAATTTGTTCTTTTATAAATTGTTGTGAATTACTTGATGAACATTAACAAAAAAAATTCTAACCATGCATCACATAGCACCCATGTTTAAAAAATCGAACGAACCGGTCGGGTCGACCCGAAAACCTGTGACCCAGACTAAAAGCCAATTCGGGTGGTTAAAACCCCAGAAGTGACCAAAACCTAAAAAAAACCCGGCTTAGGTGGTTAAACCAATTAAATTGCAACTTCAATATTCTAAATGGAAAAATATTTGATAAATTTATATATTTATTTTAAAAGGGAATTTCTATCAAATTATATTAGAATGTATGATACCAATAGCAAATTACATTATTTATGCTAAAGCCTAATGAGAACAAAATAATATTTGAAATATAATAAGTGTTTTAAATGCTTACCCACTATTATCATTAGTTTATTGCTACGAATATAATTACTTTTTAATTTAGTTTTACATATAATTATATGTTTAGTACGGAGTATTATATAAGTATGGACCGGTTATCTAGGGCTGACCCAACTGGGTCCAGGTTGAGCCATGCACCAGTCATTTTAGCGGGTCGCTTCCCAATCCAATTTTCACAACATAGCAAACACCCCTTTAAATTATGAGACATGGGTTAACTCTAACTATCAAAAAACGTTTTCTTGCAAATTTTAACCCAACAGTTCATTTGAATTAGTATTCCGTATAATCTAAAGTGTATAAAAAATTTAGTTAAATGAATGCAAGCCAATAAATTTGGACCCAACTCAGCCCAAATACAGATCTAACCCAACCTTTTTCGGTTAAAGCCCAACCTAAATTTTCCTACCCATAAAAAGTCCTAGGTATAAATTACTCCTAACCCTGCGACCATTCTTAGACCCATCGGTCACACCGATGCTCTCCGCCAGCCTCCTCCACCTCCAATCCTCCGTTCGCCCCGCCTCCCATCATCCACCACTCTTCCATCCCGCCTCCCATTATCTACCACTCCTCCGTCCAGCCTCCTCCTTCTGCATGCCTAATCCGATACTCTCTGTAAATCACAAAGCCCAACAGTTGACGTAGATGAGTCTGAGTCATTAGACGGAGATCCAACTCGCCGGTTGACGGTCTGTCTATTCTCGTGGTAGTCAACATGTGACACCAACTACGAACATGTTTTCGGCTCTATTTTGGTATATCGATTTGCGAAGTACTCCGTATAATATTTGTGTACTTTTTTTGAATCAAATAATATTTGTGTACTTGATACTCTCTTAAATACATGCTTTTATTACTGATGGTTTTTTGAAAAAACAAAAGAAGCGTGTTAAGTCTGTGATTCTTTGTTAGGAATCTGTCAACGTATGTTTTGTGGATGTTCTTTTTATTTTTGATATGCATAAAATTAACGAATTTGATAAATAATGTCGGTAAACCAACATGAGATGATGAGACTTGTTAAATTTTACTACGTATGCTTCTATTTTAAAACTCTTAAATGAAAAGCTTCTATTTTATTAATTACTTTGCATATCTTTTAAGTACTGAAAACATGTGCACTTTGTGTAATAATTCCATTGGTGACATTCATTCTATTAAACTTCAACTGTTATAAGATTTGATAAGTATTGAAATAATATATAATACTCCGTATGTAAAGTACTTCAAATATACATTCAAATCGTTGACCTGAATGAACTTTTATCATATTCCTATTTTAATACATAGCCAAATATAATATTGAAAATTTGAAATATACATAACTTGTTGCTTACTGCTTATTCTGGCATCTCATATTTAAACCTTCTTAAACAAAATTAGCATGGTGTTTATTGGTTATTTAACAACCTGTTAGCCAAAAAACTAAAGCAATAGGTAAGCCAAATGTATGTAATTTATAAACACAGAATCTTGTGAGAGCTGTTGTGGTTTAATATTTTATTTGTAGCTCTTAATTTACTTCCTGAACTCTTTGTTAATGCAGTTAAGTCTACATAAGAACTTGGGATTGCAATGTTGGGCAATACAATTGGAAAGTACCCTCTCTGTCATGTAATGACCATACTGCCCTATACTTTACTTTTCATTAAATTTTAGCAGTATTACCATCCAAACTCTGTTGAACTATACCTTGGGTTTATATTCAACAAAAAACAATCATTATTTTTTTGTATAGAGCAGAATCACCTTGACCCAATTTTAATATGAACTTGTCATATTTAGATATTCGGTATATTAGAACACTGCCTCGTCGTAATCCTTTGTTGAAGGCAATAGTACTTTACCAAGGCAATCGTCGTAATAAAATATGCTCAGCGAATATATGATGTACATATTAAACATATACTCCATATTCTTTTTGAAAAGTAATTATTTATTTTTTGCTAACAGTTGTGATTTTAGTAAAACATTTGTTGCCAAGTTGCTCCCTCATTACTTGTGACTAAATAATGTGTTGACTTAATTTAGTGAATTCCACTTCATTCCCGGCCTTTCAATTTTTAGAGATTATTGTTGTCGTAGGATAGCAGACATCCATGCTAATTTTAAAAAATATTTATCTTGAGCAATTCAGTTGAATTTTGGCAAAAACAAAAAGTGATTTCTTTATTTTTAATTTTTCTTCCTGCTGCTATATTCTCCTGCAGATATATCATATACGGAGTATGTGATATACTACAAATTTATTTTAACATAATATTACCTTTTATGTTGCATGTGTAATTTACCAAGATTAATTTCACCTTTCAATCATTATATTACGCCTTAGAAATAGTAAATTTGTAGGCTTTGGGATCTGAATAAGGTTTCCTATTATGTATTATTGGTATGGGTAATACTACGTATAACTATTAGGTAGTTTAGAAGAGGGACTGCAAATTTAAACTTTCACCCACTTCAAACCTCATATATGACCTTAATATAGTTTGATTTAACGCAAGCCTTAAATAACATAGGGAAGTAAGAAGTTGCTAGAAACTAACTTAAATATGATTCATCATATTTAGTTTCTTTAGTATGTTCGTTTGTAGTCTAAATAACTACACCAAAAAATTGAATGTAAAATAATAGTAAAATTAGGACCGCAACATTGAATATCATAAAATAATGTATTTTACATCCATTGATGTTTGTACTCCTAAACAATATGACATTCCAAAAGAAATATCTACCTATTTTATTTTTGAGGTTTTTCTTTTACACCCTGCTATTATTGAATATTGCTTGTGCTGCGCATGGTCCATCACTATTTGGTTCACTATCAATCATTCAATCCTGCTACAAAACATGCAAAATATGCAAATAAAAACAAATTAAAAACGATCTGTAATGACAACTCGTTATATAGATCAGGCTCACCAATTAGTAGTTGTAATCAATAAGTTGATAACCCGTAGATTAATTGGATGTCTTCCCTGCAGTTAGGCCTGTCAATGGGTCGGGTCTAGACCCGGACCCGACCCGGACCCGGTTGTTTTTAACGGGTATGGGTCCTTATTTTATTCCGTTTACCCGGACCCGAACCCGGACCCGTTAGTACTTTTAATAAACGGGTCGGGTATGGTACTTATGATTCCGACCCGTTAAGGACCCGGACCCGTTTAAAATTTCTTATTAGTATTTATACACACACTAATACATAAAGAGATTAGTTATAATACTTCAAATAAAAATACAAACTAATATATATAAAGTGATTAGTTTTAATTCTTTGATTAAAAAGAAACAAATTAATACATACCTAATATATAAGTGATAATATAATAGTGCGTAGTATATAATATGCTTTTAGTCCAAAAGAACTTTTTGTGACCTAATTTCTAGTCTAATATACGAGCTTTCTGTGGGAGAGAAAGAGACACAAAGTGCGGAATTGTACGCATCTACAAGAACCGATATTTTATTCAATAAAAGTACTAATTTTCTATGATAAACCTTGATTTTTTTTTGAAAAGTGAAGATATATTTTTCTTTTAAATTTGTGCACTTTGATTTACATTTCATATACTTGTTTTACTATTTTTAAAAAATTATATAATGTTCTGTCAAAAAAAAAGTTATATAATGTTGTGCCTATGATACTTGGCGGGTCTACCCGACCCGATTCCGAGACCCGTTGGGTCCGGGTCCGGGTCCAAATTTTTAGACCCGCCGGGTAAACGGGTCGGGTCCGGGTCCTTTATTTACTTAGCGGGTCCGGGTCTGGAACACTACGTTCCGACCCGGACCCGACCCATTGACAGGTCTACCTGCAGTTTTGGTGGACGTTTTCCTCAAATGAACACAAATATGAAGACATGGATAATCTGCACCCACAAATATGAAGACATGGATAATCTGCACCGTTAAAAGAGTTGTACAGGAACAGGATATACCTCTCCTCTTTATGAAATATGAACTCTTCTCCGCTCCTTTATAATGTGAAGCATCTTGTATCCTTGTATGCCCGATGCACCCCTCTCTCTCAATGCAG